CTCCGTATATATATACCAATTACTCGGCGATTGGTTAAACAATTATTTGATAAATTATTTGCAGTAGTATTAATATGAAATATAAGTAACTGTAACTTTGTATATACGAAGTAGCATAGAGCTTACCTTTAATGTAATAAAACATTAAAATATTCTTAGATAATTCATCAAAACAATCCGAATGACGCACGGTACTGGCAGCATGCAATTTATAATAAATATATAGCTAATGTTATGTACAATTCACTGTCATGGTCTCATTGCTGCGAACACAATAGGTATTGTCATTTTCTCGATCATGTACAATATTATAAATAGTATAACACTAGCGATCCGGCCTGGCTTTGCATGGGTAGATAGAATTTTTTAAAATAATACGTAGCCTATTTTATTCACTGATAATGTAGCTTTTTATAGGCAAAAGATTTTTTAAATTTGATTGAGTAGTACTTGAATTTATTCATTACAAATAAACTATCAAACCTTTCCTCTTTATAATATTAGTACAGATATAAATTATTTACAGAATGATACTGAAATCTTAGCATTATTTAAGGGAGCGTCCCGGTAATCAAACTGAACATTTTAATCAAAAGAAAAACGAAAAATGCTTCCTCTGCCATACTAAATTGACGTACCGTAACAGGTGTGTCAATTTAGTTTACCTAATTATTCCTTAAGGTACACGAACGTGCTAATATAGTTCTGACTATTATTATATTGTTATAAATTATGAAATTATTGTTTAAGGAAGCTTACCATTGTATTGTCAAAATAATTCACAGTTTCATATTCATAAAGGTCAATTGAATCACGAAATTTTAAAATATTTTTATGAGTACACATTTCAAGCAAAGATTTATCTATTACACCTAGATTATAAAACGTTAAAGTTTTTACGAGAAAAAAAAATATATATTTGACTAAATTTATAGCAACATGTTCAGTAGTGGAGTAAAAAAATCTTGTAAAGTAACTTCCATAATTACAATAATTGTCTTGCTTATTTCCTATATTGTATAATGCAAATAAAGTACACTCATTCATTCATTCATTCAACTATCATCGAATTGAGAACATTTTCTTTTTCAGACTATTTAAAAATATGTTATAATTAATTAAAAATATTATATAATATTCTTAATTGCCTATTAAGTATGTAATGATTTCATTACATACTCGTAATTTTCAGTTTTGTCATCTTGTGAAAATAAAAGAATGAACAATCTCATGCAGCAACAGTTTCAGCTCTTCCTTCGTCATTCAATCTTTTTTTATATATGATAATATAGATTTATTTACTATCTATACTCGATGCTATTTGTAACAAATATAACAAGTAGATATTTTACATTATCAGAAACCCCTAAAAGCTTGATATCGTAATGAGAATTGTGCCCAATTATCCGCCATAACCATTAGCCTCTATATGTGCTTGACAGATTGTTTTGTATGTTGACAACTATGTCAAGATCATCCTTTATTGTTGATCCGATAAATTTATTGCTTATCTTATTACTGTGATCCTGAATATTACTCTTAGAATTTTATATAAGTATCTTAAACTCTCTTAGGATATTGTAAAATTTAGATATGAATGCATGAATGAAAACTCTTTATATTTACATAAAAAAAATAATACAAATTTTAAATATTATAAAAATATGTACACAAACAAAATGAATATGGTATTTTTATTTAATCATATTTCAATTTTAAAGATTTTTACTTCACATTAAACTTATTAAATCGCGACAAAATTGGTGTAAGTGTATTGTTGCACATTACGATAAAAAATCACTATAATACATTTGATAACGTAAGCGATAAAAATAATATTAGCAATTTTGAAGTTGATTGAAAATAGAGGGATAAATTAAGTCTCAAAAGTCAACGCATCTAAAAATCTAAACATATAAATATCTAGGTATTGTATATACCATAAATTAATAACGTTAGTAAATTAAAGTATATACATTTATACGTAAGTTTAAAAAGTTGAACATTTTTAAAGTTTTAAACTTTATGTATTGTAAAAATATATTTTATTTGTATCTTTTTACCTTTCTTGGAAACTTTGTAACTTTCTTGGAAGTTTAAGAAAGGTAGGTATAAATGTATATACACTGCAGTTCAATAATATTAATACCATTTGGATTACAAACTTTCACATTTATAATAATAGTAGAATTAAATATTATATAACAAAGGGAAGTCTTATCGTTAGGCCAATCTCTTACAGACAATCGAAATAGCTCGGTCATCTACTATTGTATTTTATAATAAATAAAATTCCACATAAATTTATTACGTCAGTTGACCTCTGTATAGTATTTTAAAATAAAAATAGTCAATGATTAAATACCAAAATTCGTGATGACTATCACGCTATATACTGCAGAACAAAAAAATATTACTAAAACACCAACGTTTATAATAGCTAATGCTACATAATAATGAAACATAAATCGTCAAATAAAAGTAAGTAACTCTGCAAACTTTATTTTGCCCCGTACTGCCATCTATTGGGTTAATTTTTTCTTATCGGTAGAAAAACTATTCTATATCTCAAGTAAACAAACAATATTGTAAGTTGAACGGTTTCACAGATTAGTCTGAACAAACATTACACAATACGAGATTTTTTTATATAAAAAGATTCAAGTAGTATGCATTTGTCTCTATAAATAATTTTAGATTCCATATATTCTGTGGGTTTAAGCGACTTTGATAACCTGTAAAGTTTATAAAATTATTTTCATTATATTGTCACTCTATGTGATATAATTAATCTAATAAAAAAAATCACACTATAGAATTCCGTTTAATTATTTACTTACTTCGATTTATTCTTCCTTGACGTATTCGAGATAGTTTATCTATACTATATAAATTAAAAAATTAACGCATTCCCTTTTCAAACAGATACATCATGGCTTATTAATACATAATACATGTGATAGTATCACAGTATGGATTGCATGTTATCTTTTAAGTGTGGCGTGCAAACATGTTTTCTTAATAAATCGAGGCTGAGACAACAGTTCGCCCACTCACTTATCTACTGCACATATTGCCTCAAACTACTGAATTTTTATTACTACTGATAAACTCTATGGTGTTTACTTATAGCCGGCATGTTGTAACAGTAGCTGTGAAGGTAAAAGGAAAATAATTGATAAGAATTTCATGACTATTCTCTGATAAGGTTCTTGTAGCTGTTGAGATGTAGATACTCGTCCGTTTAATTCACTATTTCGACTCGAAATATCTCAGTATTCGTGAGATCAATTGTGGTCGATGATAAAAAAAAGTTACTTCTATGTGTAACTATAAAAAGTCGAATTTTCAGTGTACAGATCTTAACAAACTAAATTATTTCACTTCATACACTCACTACTACATACACTACTTATTCATGTTGAACATCTGTGTAGGTTCACGTAGGTTCACGATGAATTTCAAAATCGAAATTAGAATAGACGTTATTTGTTGTTGGAATCTCAGAAAATAAAACCATATTTGATTAGATAAAATCATAAATTTAATTATATTTGAATTATTAAATAATTTTTTTAAAATTGATGCTGTGCGATAGTGTGGCATAGAAAAAACCACCAGAACTGTCAAAGGCAACTTAAGTCGAGGATTGGCGAGAGCGTCCATCAGAAAAAATGGTGACCATGATTTTGTATTATTTAATCATTGTGTCAATTTTTTAAAAACATGAATTTAATTTTTATATATCATTTTTTTATGGAATAACTATTATATATGGTTCCTTACATACATAATCTTATATTGCTTGCATAAAAAATATTAAAAAAAGGTAAACTTATGGAATCAAAATTTTTGTTTGTATAAGTAAAACAAATAATTTAGTGTTATTATATAGAGATTTGTTTTGCGTTATTTTTTAAGAGCGTGTAGTGGATTTTTGTATAAAATAAAATAAAAAAAATAAAAAAAAAAATTTAAAACATCTCCAAGGGTGTAACTGCGGTTGCCAACCTGCCTGCCAAGCATGCCAAGTATTGGCAAAAAAATCCTACCTTATGGAGGAGACCTATGTTCATCAATGGACAGTTAATGGGTGGTATGATAATGATGATGAATATTTTAATTCGCTATCAGAGCATTTTTAAATGATATTTAATTTAAAAAAATGTTTAAAATTGTCCAATTATTTTTCAAAATTGACAGATAATTCAGACACACTCCAAGTCATATATAAATACAAGATCGGTGAAATATGATCCAAGTCAAATGGCAACAGTAAAAATGTCTCCGACTTGGCCATCTGGAGTTACATTTGTGAAAACATTGTATATATAAAAAAAAAAACACCTATTTTAATCGCGTGTGAATGAAGAAATCTACATGCATAATCTCGCGTCCGTATCCCAAACTCACGGCGACACGCAACGCAGTCGGATAAAATAAAACACGCTATCGCTATTATCTCATACAGTTGAAGCAAACATTAAACAATGCGAACGCTGTACTAATTGTATGCACCTATTTGTATGTACCAGCACTTACATTCTATAAGTTAATTGTCGCAAACGTGCATAATTGTGTGATGGCGCTTAGAGATATGTACAGCTGATATTAATCTTGAAGGCTCAATCTGATGGATGTAATATTGAGTACTAGTGGTGCTTGTGACTTCGCTCCTATAAAATTTATTTTAAAACTGCGTCACGTAAAGATTTACACGATATATATTTTCTTTTCTATAAAAAACTGTTGGAGTCAATTTATAAGTTGGAAAACCAGTCAACAAAGAGATGGTAATCCTTACTTTTTTTATAAAACTTAGAATGACAAACAAACTCATTTGATGGGAAGTTGTAACCGTTGCCTATAGACATGAACAGTACCATGGTATCTAGTAATATTTATTATAAATGGAAAATTGCAATTGTTAAACAAGCCCAATTAAAAAAAAAACCTTTAACGGCTCGACCAATCGTCAAAAATTATGTACTTATACGTACTATTTGTTATTTGAGAACGACATAGGCTTCTTTTGATCTCGTTCAATCAACATATCTGCGGACAAAGTCGCAGCTAAAAAAAATAAATTATTGTTTTTCTATGTAGTTAAAAATGTTTAATCGATTATAGGCGAATTGTATCCATCAATTGTAGTTGCCACATAATTAAATATGTTTTTTCTGATAGTTTGCACTATAATTATCCCGTCTCAACTGATACAATGATTGCCTTATTACTTATTCACCGGGATGAGGAAAACACGTAAGCAGTCAATTGGAAATTTACTGAAGAGTTTATAACAATAGGTGTTAAATCTAAGATCTAATTCTGAGAATCATATTCTAAACTAATTTAATCTTATTATATCATCATTTTTAATTTTTATTTATAGTAATTTAATTATTCATATATTTTATCCATAACAGATAAAGAAATAATTTGTAACACAAATATTAGATGCCAGCTATTCATTGCTTATTCTGTCTCATCTTACAGTCTGTTTGAGATTTTAAAATTCAGGCATCAAGGTCAATTACAGATATATTATGAACCTACATAGTTGGATGCATCTCCTCTGTTTGTAAGTTTGTCATCCAGATACTTCGTAATTTAAATAAAAATTTTTGTAAATTATAATTTTATAACAGATTGATACTCCAAATGATTTTTTTTTTATACTACTTAGAATGGCAAACAAGCTGACGGTCCACCTGATGGAAAGTAGTAACCGTCGCCTATAGACATGAGCAGTACCATGGACATAATAATATACTGTTTCGCCCATGATAATGCGTTGCCATTTGAGGACTCAGGTGTTATTCCTCTGTACCCAGTTTTATCCCATCCTTCAAACCGAAACACAGTTATGCAAACACAACTGCTTCACGGTTGAAACACGAATGGGACAGAGGTATCCAAGCAATCGACTTTTGTACAAAGTCTCCCTCTGGTATGGTATGATCCTTAATAATCTTTACTAATATTATAAATTTAAAGGTAAATTTTTCTCTTGGCATTGTAATGGCTCAACCAACTGTCTATAGGTGACGGCTACCACTTTCCATCAGGTAATCAGGTGGGTCGTCAGCTTGTTTTCCATTCTAAGTTGCATAAAAAAATCATCATAAAATTTGATACACATGTAGTATTTGGATCGGAGTCCTGCGTACCCCATCTGCGTATTATAATACGCATAATATATATAATTATCTACTATATCCTTGGTCTACTTCATATCCCCGTCAATCTATATATCGTGATTACGCGGACGATATGACGGGTAATAACTAGTGAAGTAATAAATACCAAAATATTCCTATATGACTGTAATTGTAATTGTTTATAAATCATTGTCATTAGACGCCATAAAGCGTTGGTTGCCAAGCGCCATATATTTGTGGATTATGTGCTTTCATATCTTTCAATTATAGTCTGTTCGTATTAAAGTAATAAAATAGTAATATAAAACGAAAAGTAAAAATAGCATTCATTGTATAACACCTCCATTGTGTTGTGCTTTTCACTAAACAATTGCCTCGCATTCGATTTTCGATTTAAATTTAAAAATAGAACTATTCTCAATAGACATTCGTCTGGCCTGGTCTTACTTGTAGCAGTCTCCGGCCAAACTTCCAAACTTCCTTACATTTAACTAATTAACACACCTTGTAGCCACTACTACAGACATCTGGGCGGAAAGGGATTGTTAGTAAACGGTTCTAACAGCCCCATTACTAGCAATATGCTCTATGAGGTCTACCTCCACGTGGTTTCCTCTAGAAACCATTGTGGTAAATTCTTGTCGAATTCGTCACGATGGACCGACTGACTTACTTCATCCTCACCCATCATCGATTATTAGTGCCTCGCTAGCATATACTTATAGCGTAGGCGAAGTTACCATTCTATTTTCACCCATTAAAAAGAAAATCCCGTATCCAATGGCGAAGACGGGATGCTTTGAATTCTGTACCGCAAACTATTAAAAAGAACCTAAGCTAGGTTCTTTTTTACAGTTTGCATTATCTTAGCCATAGCAATTATTTATGAAAATTAAAAAGAAAACGAATATAAAAGAGAACCAAAAGATACACACAAGAAAACAACACAATATAGGAATACACAATTACAATATGAATATAAAGTACCTGTTACTATACAAAACAAAAATCGTATATTATTAAAAACTTAAGAGCCTGACCTCGAATTTCATTAAGACGGGTGTCATCCAACTGCCGTGTTCGGACAATACATAATGGTGTTCCCTAATTTCACGCGACTGTGCCACGGTGCGTGTCCAATACCGGCGAATAAAATTATCAATTCGTTTGTAAACACATACAGAATCGAAAAGCCGTAGTGGTCTCGTTACCTGTCATCCTGAGCGCAGATCTCAGATCTATCTGCGGCACATTCAAGTGTATGTAACGTAAGCGAATGGTGGTCTCCACGCGCTGACAACGCACGCAATTCACGAACTGTCGAACTCGATTTTTTTTATGTGGCGAAATATTTAGTCGTCTTCGGAATTTCTCAATTACAAATATAATATTAAACTTTCTCGCTGGTTATTATTAATCTGTCGACACAGTGCGGTCGGGGTGACGTTCAGACCGCAGTGAACTAGAAAGTGTCCGCGTTTTGTACGAATTGTAAAAATGAAAACGGATTATGCCATGGATGAGATGCAGAAGCGTAAGTCGATGTTACAATAGTTTTACTTTTTACATTTTATTGTTCAATTAATTCATAATCTGTTATTAATTAGGTGTTGATAGATTATAGGAATGTTAGGTATATTTAATATTCTACTTATCGTGCAGACAGTAGGTGTTATTTCTATCTTACTAATAGGTGTAATAAAATTGTAATTAGACTAAACACAGGACATATTTAAGAAAAATTTACATAAGGGGTTTGATAAAAGCAATAGAAGTAAAACAATAATTTTTAGAATTTTTATCTGTCTGTCTGTTTGTTCCGGCATCACACAAATACTATTGCACCAAATTAGATGCGGTTTTCATAATTATGATTCTGAAGATTTAATATAAAAAACTAGTATAAGTATTATCTTGACATGCCATTTACGAGTGATCTATTTAATTGATTTTCTTAGTTCTGAAATCCACACGTACCTACTAAGTAAGCAGGTTAAAAGTAACGTATGAATAAAATATTATACAATTTATTTAATCATGTCATTTAATATTGTTAACGTTGATTTGAAACGTAAGGCAATTTTATAAATGATCAACATACGAGAAAATTTTATTGTATACAAAAAAATCTCTAAATCGGTTCAGAACTAAATAACATATCGTGGAACGTAAATTAAATTCGTGGAAATTACTTACCACGAATTTTTCTTTTACTAAACTTTAGTTACCTACGTAAAAAATAGTTCAGACTGTTTAAGAATCTTATTCTTTCTGAAGTCACAAAAAAATATTTTAATTAAGTAACTAGGTAAAAAATATTTTAGCCGCATTAATAATCCGCTTCTTTCTGAAGTGGGAAAAAACTGATTTCGATTCTAATAAAGTTAGTTACTAAGATAAATATCATATATATTTATATATATCATATTTATTATTTATTTGGAAATATTTTTGATTAAAAAAAGAACCCACTTTGTTTGATATAAACAGGAAAAACACAGTCAATTTAAAAATGTCGTCTAATTTAAAAAAGAACGCTCAATTTTTGTATCGCAAATATTTATATTGCAAAGCTCTATTTAATAAAGAATATATTATAGAAAAAGATCGGTATCACTTTACATATTCGTGAAATTATTTGCACATAATTTGTTCGACAGATAAATATTATGCCTCATCAAGGACTGAACATGTGTTTTTGTCTGTTTCTGCCAACGAAGTATGTCGTATTACCTTCTTTACATTTCGTATTTAATTTATTGCTAAGGTATTCTATCAATCGTCATTCTGTTATAATGTTTCATCAACACCTGTGGATACATTATGCGTTATGTTTCTATCTATGATTATGAAAATAATTTTTGTAATAAATATGTAACACGTATTATTAATTTTTAAACATTCACTTGTAAGTGGAAATTATCTACTTAAAAGTCAAATCTTTATATATAAAGAACGATTGACAGGCTGTTCGCAGCAGATAACAACTTTCCAAACCCGGCAATAAATAAAAAAAAAAAAATGAAGATTTACAAGTGCTTATAAACAAGTCTATTTGTATAAAGATGCTTTGAATTTTATTTAGACCATTAAAAGTAACTCAATATTTTTTGTCGATTTTGAATTATTAATTCAAGAAATAACTGTCTTAATATGTATTCTAGCATAGGTAGGTTCTTAATTAAATATATTATTAACAAGTATTTTCACACTGTATTAGTTATAGTATAAAATATAATCTTGTAAGAATTCACTAATGAATCCACTAGTAGAGTTTACTGTATGTTATCTAAATATTTATTTACCTGAATATTATTAATTTACCTGTCACGGCTCCGCACTGGTATATTAATGAAAAAAATTTAACCAAATCTTCCCTTAACAATACGACTATGAAATGACAATTACATATTTCCCTAATATTTTCTATTTAACTCACTTTTTATACAGAGATTCTTAAACTAAATTTTTCACTTTCCCATACGACTTTTGAAACAATTTCTATTATACATAACTTGTCTTGACAATTACAAATATAATAGAACAATAAAATAGCCTAATAAATGCGGCCGTTCTGAAATGATGCGCTTACATACATTCGACAATTGATTTTTATTTAAGAATAATTGGATTATAATTTTTATGATCATTAGTCAGCTCTAGTTCCAAATAATAGGTTCAATATTCCATCATATTAGAGAAGCGATTAACAAGTAAATGGTGTTAGTTTTAACGTTAATATGCAATCAAAACATCATTATAAATTGCCGTGCTCTAGTAATAAAGTGTATAGACTTATTAGCTTATTATTTAACTTAAATATTTTTTTAAGTTAAATAATAAGCTAATAAGAGTTAAGTTATTTAATTTAATTTTTTAACTTAATAAAGTGTAATACTTTTGTCCATGTGGTCCTGGCATAAAATAGGTTAACCCTTCCTTTCCCGTGGCATGTCGTAAGGGGCGGTTAAGGGAACTTATGGTCGCGGAACGGGTAGCAGCGTCTCTTTTAAAACATCTTTAAAAGGCTAACTGCGGTTGCCAACCGGCCGACCAAGCTTGGCAAATACTAGCAAAACTCCCCTTATGGGGAAGATTTGAGTTCATGTCAAATCAAATGGTCAGTTAACGGCTGAAATTGTAAAATTGAAAAAAATCTTACTAGTACAACTGTTATCTCGTTTATAAAGATGAATTCCAAATTCCCAATGATAATATCAGTGCAAATTCCACCAATTGCAAACAATCTCTAGTATCAACAGAATAAAAATTATCTTCACTTAAAATAGACTTGTTTGCAAGTTGTTTAAATCGTCGCTATTTATGATTGTTACTCTGAGTTGGAATGTTCTTATCAAATACTCGGCAGTAATTTTTCTTAAATCAAAATAATCTTATATGAATTTATGTGTACTAATGGATAATGTAATCTTCTTTATTTATTAGTATAACATAAAGATTGAAAATCCTGACACAATATAATCTTCGTAGTGCAGACGATGTAGCCTTACATAGAAGCTTTTGATTGGGTTTATTTAGGAAAACGAGTTTTTAAATTGATCTCGGTTTTCATCTAAAATAGAGCATCTAAGCATTTAATACCTTATTATTCTACTAGTTCTTACTAATATCACAGTGTAAGAGTCTAATATTACAAATAGGCTAGTATGTTTGGTTGCATATTTGTTATTATATCATGCTTAAACGACTGAATGGAGTAGAAAGAAATTTAGAACGCAGTCAGAGAACATTCTAGATTACCACAAGGTACTTTATCTACTAATTCACTTTTTCAATTGTGATAAAACCAATGGAAAACTAACATGAGGATAAACTTTATAGATTCCATAATCAATTATCTTTCTGCCACGCACAACCATACTTTGGAATCAACTTTCAGCAGCAGTATTTCCAAACCGATACGATATCGTAACTTTCAAGAAAAGAGCGTATTTCTTTTTATGTGTTGCGGGTGCTTACGGGTGGCGGTAGTCACTTACCATCAGGTAAACATCATGCTCCCTGTGTTATAAAAAATTTGATTTAAAATTGTTATATAACAAAATGTATAAGATTATATAAAATACTAGCGATTCTGGTAGATATACTTTTAGAAAATAATATTTACCCTATATTACTGGCTGATAATGTAACATTCTATAGATTTCAAAATCAATATACAATTTCATAGTCAATCCATAATAATATCTATGTAATAATACAAATAATACATCAACAAAATTCAGTCATAATTTTAAAATTTATTATAATATTATAATTTGTTATATATTGTATTAATACAATTGCATTTAATTAAATTAAAAAATAGATTATTTTACGCCGCATCAACTACCAATACACATATTACACCACAATGAAAATAAATGATCATGTAGATATCCATGGGTATATTTAATAGTGAATTGTTTATTATACATATTATTAACAAAATATGTACGGAAGCATGATAATTGTACTGTAATTACCTATTATTTTCGGTGCCGTTCGATTGTTGATGATTTTAAAAGAGGAAGTTTTTAATTGGTTCATATTTTTTGTAGCTACGATACTACGTCGCTAATTCTGAACTGATTTCAATCATTCTTTTTACTAGTGATGCATTTTTTTCTTGTTAAAAACTGCTTGTTCCGAAATAAAATGTATATACTTATTTGTAGACATACGATTCTGTATTCTAAATTACAATATTTATCAATCTAATATGTCTACGAAACATCACGAAGAAATACGATGTACTAAATATGATTAAATACAATATTATTATAAAGCAATATAGTAATAAAACAATAATTATATCTTAATTATATTCCTTTTTGCAAAAAAAAGTGGATTTAATTGACAAAACTAATGTAAGACCAACACAGACCAAAGAGAGACTTTGTACAACAGTCGTTTGCTTGGCCACTTCTGTTCCATTCGTGTTTCTAACATGAAGCAGTTGTTTTAGTTTGAAGAGTGAGATATGGCAGTAAATTTACTGGGTACAGAGGAATAACACCTGTGTCCTCAGGAATGGCAACGCATGGAGGGTATTATGGGCGAAACAGTATACTCTGTTATCTCCATGGTACTGCTCCTGTCTATAGATGACGGTTACTACTTTCCATCAGGTGGACGTCAGCTTATTTGCCATTCGAAGTTGCATAAAAAAAAAACAACAATAAAAAACTGATGAATTTGAAATATCCACTTTTTAAAATAGGTTAAAAATGAATACGCCTACTTTTTATAACAATTATGCAGCCTAGTGATTAAATAAATTGATTCCAATCAAAATATTATCATAAGCAAGTGAACTATCCTTAATTTGTATAAGCTTAAGAGATACCAGTAGAACAAAATGTGTTATTTGAAGACAAGATAATTGCATTTTCGTATGTTGTAATTGTATAACGTTCCATTTGCCATTTTTTGCATTATCTCTATAAATAGATTCAAAAACAATTATGCCAAATTATTAAAAAAAAAACTCCTCAAGTATTTATTAATGTGTTAGAAAATTGTAGATGCGTGTATGGGACTTTGTTACTATGTTAACAAAAAAGTAATCGTACAGCAATTTAAGATTTATTTTATATTGATTGCAAAAGAATATGTCTACCTACGTACGAGTACCTACATCTGAAGTCAGTTTACAAAAACTGCCTCGTGTTCATATTTTTATTTTTTTTGACTTGTAAAATGAGGAGGTTCCCAATTAGACTGTATTTTTTGTATGTTGCACGATATCACTTGAGAATCAACTGTAGGTACGATGTGTGTAATCTGCCTCATTCACATAACCATATAATTTAAAAAATCTTGAATGTACTGTACTCCTTACAAGAAATAAGAAAGTTCATCATTTAAAAAGCAATCTGATTTCGCACGAGTGTAATTTATTTCTAAATATTTATCTAATATATTTATCTACTTACACAAAAGTTAAATTAAGAAGTATTGGAACTTTCCGTAAATAATTTCAAATTTTATCCTAGAAAAAAAAACTACAATTGTGGAAAAACTAGTTATTTTAATTTAAAAACTAAACTATTGAGCTGACTTTGGATAACATTTCTACGGGATCAATTTGTAAGCATATCCTTTCAGGTAAAAAAATAATTTTCCAAATCGGTTTATAACTATCGCAGTGGTACTTGTAAGGTAACAAAAATAAAAATAAAAAACAATCGAATTGAGTACCTCCTTTTTAAAGTCGGTTGAAAATATTTATTAATAGTGAAACACGGATCAAAATCCGTAATGTGGTTTACAAAAAATAAGCATATGAAAAGACGCTGTCAGTAACTTTATTTTATATTATTTAAATGTAGCAATTATGTAAATTTTTATTAACCGTCTGGTGGTAGTCTACACTGTTAATAACCCAAATAAATTCGGTTCGCTACATGTCACAGTAATTTAATATATGGTCACTGAAACATAAACAATATAATTCAGATTTCTGCGTGATGCCAACATTATACTTATTCCTTGAACTGTTGGATTACTATGGTATTCATAATTAATTGAGACGTGAATTGTCCTGAACCACTTACTTCTCTCCCTGCACTGTATTTGAAGTTATCGTTTAATCTAAGAAATTTCAATTTCAATTTATTTATTACATTCTACAATATTATTATGAAAAATGTTAATAATGGATAAAGTACATTGTAGACCCTGTCGGGCGCAGTAATTAGAAGCGAGGTGGGCGTTGATCCTTAAATTTGCATAGAGATTCAAATAATTCAATTTAAATTTCATAATTTAATTTAATTCGAATTAAATTCCAAATTAATTTAATTATTTTAACCCATTTTTTTATTTCCATGTGTTTTATTTTATTTTAATACAATTTAATGTAGTTGTTCATATTTTTATATGTTTTTAGTTACTAAATAATTCTACACCTTAGAATAGAAAACATTGTTTGCTTACATACGGGTATACCATTTATTTTTTCGTAGATAGATAGATAGATAATTTATTTGCATTACTTACAGCACACAAATTATAACATATACATAAAAACGAGATAACATAAATGATTACAAAAAATACATAAAGCTAAACACAATTTTCTTTTGTGCGTGTGCCATAATAATACAAAATAGCCATAACTCAGGTTATTAACTTTAGTAACTTAGATTGTGAAAATTTTGGAACTTTGCTATTACAGTCGCATCATCAACATATTGCCTTACTTTTTCTTTGTCTCCAGGAACAACCTCGCTGATCGGAGTGGCGGAAATAACTAACAACAAACTGATCTGGCGACAACTGGTAGCCGAGTTCGTGGGAACGTTCCTACTTACCTCTATCGGTGTGGCCGCCTGCATCACCATCAGTCCCACAAATGCACCCCAGACTACCAGCATCGCGCTCTGCTTCGGTCTACTCGTCGCCACTATTGTTCAGGTCAGTGTCTAAAATTACACCTTGTTCAGTCTATTATTCTTACCTACTAGTCGAAGAATGGATGTAATGTTTTTCAAGTTTATTGACACATGCACATCGGAATCCATGCCTATGACTAGTTCTATATAAGGAGCAACTAACTGGTCGAATTTCTTTAGCTTATTTAAGACGATTACATGAGAATTTTCTAGGCCACCTTCGTTATACACGAAGATTACTGACTTGATCTCTGACATGGCTTTCCGGACGCCGACTTAGCGTGCCCGCCAAAACACGAAGCAAGTGACAATCATTTTTGAATGATCGAAACATGAATTTGGAGGTTAAGATTAATGCTTGAAGGTTAAGGTTGCGTTTCGATCTTGGGACCAACTGACCGTAGTCAAACGTAATAACTGAGCAGTCACCACTCGATCTTTGGCCTGTATCAATGCCGTTATAAACAATAATGATGAATCCTAAGGTTCTATTATTTTCTGTCTAGAATAACGATAAACAATGCGAAATATGAACAAAATGTGATGGCCATATACAGCAGAAAACTTTTTTACAATTAAGTTTTTGTATTTTTGTCACATCTACTGGTTTGATGGCATCTCATAATTGTCAATTGCGTTCCTAAAATTTTCTTTTAAGAGTATAAATAAAAAAAACCGGCTTATTGGAATATTATTCGTTTAGTGGTGAAGTTTTTAACTTCAGGATATATTTAAGACGACTAAAGCAAGAAAGCACAAACAGTACTTCTAATACTTTACACAAAGCGTCCTGAACAGTAAACTATATTACGCTCTTTTAAAAAGAGTTACACAACTCTTACACGCAAGACTACACTACCCCTTTTATAGGAAAGTCACTACGCTTCCACTCTACTTCTACGTTCTACTTTTACGTTCCACTGAACGTTGATGGGTCATTATATTATTAATAACTGATGGATCACATCTGACTCTTCATCATCATAATGACTCATTACGATGATGAAAATTCAGTAGATAATAATAGTAATAATACATCATCACGCATTTAGAATTTATCACAATATAAACAGGTTGTCATGGAGAATAAAAAAATTATGCATGGTGTAATGTGAACAATGGTTTCACCTTTCAAACCATACTCACACGCAATTTAACTATTAATTTACCTTTCTTTTTTCACTTGGAAAATATTACTACATACAATACAAAAAACTATTTTGGTGTATCTTATCACTACACGAACATCAGGTAAGCAACAAATTATTCTATCTAATACATGCAATCTTAGAATCTGATAAATACCAAAGAATAGGTAAGTTATCAGATACGGTCTAAAAGATATTAACATTTTCTATAGATACATAATAAAATACCACATGATTTTCTTAATCTTTTATCTAATAAAGGACAGCTACCCGCAGTTATTTCGCTGGCAATAATTTCGTTCATCGTTTTACTTTACTGTTGTATTTTATTTATGGTTACTTTATTTTCTAGGTTTATTATTAAATACCAAACTTTAATATATCATATGCTGATAATAAATTTCTTAAACGTTAAAACCTAAAGTCTTCAGTATAGTATCAGACATTAGATTTCAAATTTTTTTTTTATTATGAAATTACTCTTTATAATAAAAAATTACTTCTCTCCATGTAAAGGCTGCCTGGAAGTGATCGCTTTTGGCGAGTTTGAATCGCAAGTCAAAATCTAGTATGAGATATCAAGACCCCTTCATATACATGTAATGCGAAACGGTATGCTCTGTTATGTTCATGGTACTGCTCATGTTTATAGGCGACGGTTACCACTTTCCATCAGGTGGGCCGTCAGCTTCTCTGCCATTCTAAGTTGTATAAAAAAAAAACATTTTTCTTAACTATGTTCTAGTTATAATTTTATTATATTATATGGTTTTACTATAATCTTTTGGAGAGAACAATAAGGAGTGTCTATCTATCTTTAAAAGATTTCTTGATATTGATTCATGGGAACGAAATTACATTAAATCACGTCTATTGTATTGTATCATTGTTATCTAAAAAAAGCTATTCATAACCATTATTATAAATAATATTTTATCAAATCTTAATAAGGATTAAATCTTTTAATACCAATTAATATAGATACAATTTATAACAATGTGCGATAAAAATATTATAGATAATGCTATAGCTAACAAAATTGTTTGTAGATATATTTATAAAACTAACTCTACGAAACTGATTCATCTTGAAATTTTTCTTACTATAACGTTAGTGAGTCATTATTCTAAAATGTTTTATTTCCAAGTGATTAAGAACATGAAATATTTTATGAAAACATTATACAAAGCTCAGATAGGTATCTTTTGAATATAGATATGCAGTCTTATGGGTATATATCTGTATACCCTGGTATGTTATCAGTGAGAATGAATAACCCAACACGCCGAATTTACCAGGAGTTTATCACCGCGTGAATGTCTACCCGACACAGTAAATTACTAGCAATGGCGAAACAGTATAGTCTGTTATGTCCATGGTACAGCTCATGTCTATAAGCGACGTTTAACTCTTTTCATCAGGTGGGCCGTTAGCTTTATTGCCAGTCTAAGCTGAATAAAAAAAAAATGCTAGTCGCTGTTACTCCTCCACCCACACGATCACATTTGTGTTTCAGTGACACTAAAACACAGTATAGGGTTGAAGGACTACAGAATATTATAGGACTACGAATACTCTCCACAGGAATGGGAAGGTTAGTAACAGAATTAAACAGCTTCATTGCTGTCAACCCTATTAGGTCGACCTCCACACGGTTCCCCATGAAAACTATTATGGTTAATTATTATTGAATCCATCATGATGGCCTAACTGACCTGCTTTCATCTCAACTATTATCTCGCCAGCATATACCGATTGCGCAAGCGGAATTACTATTCCATTTTCAGTCATTAAAAAAAATCTTCAAAAGTCGATATGCAAATAAATTTATTGACCTTGACTTGATCTACTGATACTATTTAAACTAACACTTTCCATAATATTTATTCGTTCAGTAATTTTCAATTTATATTCTAAAAAGAACATAACATATAATACATTTTTATGATTTGTTGATAGACGCCAAAGTTTAATTAGGTATTTCGTAATGTACATGTACCTATTACGAAATGTTTTATATACTTATATATTTAAGAAAGAAAGAAAGAAAGAAAAAAACTTTATTTTACAAGAAATATGCGACGGCACCCACACAGGGGTTAAAAAAAATCCATATATTAAGAATTATAATAAAGAAACAAACATTTAGTAGTTTTCTATAGGTTTTGACTGTAGCTTACATGCCTATGCCATAAGATGCCTTGCTATATGGAAATGATATCCCAATCCCATCCCATCAGCCGTTAACTTTAATATTAACATAGATCTTCCCCATGGAGGAGGGGGAGGGTGGAGGGGCTACCAGTACTTGTGACGCTTGCAGGCAGAGTTGGCAACCACAGTTGGGCTTTTGTGATATTATAAAAGGGACTTTGCTGCCCATCTCTCGACCATTATATTCTCTTAATTGCCTCTTACAACACCCATGGTACATAGTAATGGTACATATATTATTGCTTTTTTAATCTATAATATATTACTAAATAAGCGATAATATACCATTGACGTGACATTAATAACGACAATGTGGCGATAAAAACATGTATTTTGTGTGGGAATTGCTACTTTGGATTATTTTTAATAATTTTTTGTAGTAGGTGATACAAAGTTCATCAGATCATCTAGTTTTTAATAAATTTATTTTATTTTACTTTCATGTATATAATTTGTATACCTTACACGTGACGGAATAAACACCTATGGCGTTTTCTACTTCTCTGTCTCCTTTGATTTACAAAGGACAATTTTGTCTCTGGTTTTATGGAATCTCTTTAAAAATGGTGTATTAAGGTTTCTCCAGGATCGGCAATTAGCACGTGATACCCCTAGCATTGCAGGTGTCCATTGGCTACAGTGATAATTTACCATCAGACAGGCTATATGCGTGTTTGCCACCTTCATGGTATAAAAAAAATACAAGAGTCATAATACAATAGATACATTATAATTGTGTTAGGCGTACGTAGGTGTCGTTCAATGTAAGAAGGGTATTAGAAACTGAGAAACATTGCATATTAATTACCACAATCATATTGTCAATCGCTTAGCGTGGAGCAATTTGTTTATATGGAGGTGTGGTGAGAGTTCATGCAAAAAGTATGGTGAATATTATAATGACAGCTATAAGCGTAACAGACATTTTCTTTAGGGAGGACCAATTTAAAACAAGTAATAATAAATCTGTCAAAATGTTTTGTAATGATTTCGAAAGCGCTTTACGTAGATATTCTATGTTACTACTAATATTAAAAATAATGTTTTCTTTGTTTTCGTTGTTCTTTTTTTTATATACTAGTTGCACCCAGCAAACGTTGTTCTGACATATATTTTTTTTCTGGATACCGTAATCACCTACTGGTATAAAATATACTTTCCGACGTGTTCCCTTATTTACCAAATACACGTATACATAAAATCATTTATTAATATCGGTCGACCAATTTCGAACGATTTCAACTACAAATACCATGATACGAGATTTTTAATACCTATAAGATTATATTATATTAATCAGGCCTCCATCTATTATAATAAATAAAGTGTTTTCATAGTCTGAAAGTTAGATACATAATTTATTAACAATATTAATTTGTTTCAATTGAAAAGAAAATCCTAAATTAACAATTTATTGTAAAGAAAATCCTGAATTAACAATTTTCGTGGTAGAAAGTGAATGTTTGAGATTCTCTTTTATTATTATGTACAAGCATAAAAAAATAATATTTTTTATACAAATAAAATTAATTATAAACATTTTTGAATATTCATTTCTTTATGAATCTAACAAATTCGAAATACAATTTTAGCTGAGAACTGGCAAGAAATTATGTTGTTACTTTGTTCAAAGAAAAGTTGATTTTACAAAATTTATATA